CAATATAATTTCCATTAAAATTTCTCCCAACCACCATTTTTAAGTCACCAGTTTCCCACCCAATCTATGTTGAACAAGCACATACCATTCCAAAGTTAAGAGATCAAGATAACTTCTCTCACTGATTCTCAATCTAATGAGGGGGGCAGTTACCAGAATATTTAATGTTTAATAAAATGTAGTAACAAAGATGAAATAAACTGTTACAGGGAAGTTGTGGACACATTTTGATATGCAAATATAGAGTGTCATGGTACATACACGTAGTGGCTACAATTGTCAGCTTCTGCACTCCCTGGAATTGCTGCATTTCCACTTGTCCAAAAGCTTATCAGAGGCTAGGTTTAAGTACTCCACCACTGTCCATGGTACTTCTTCTCCACTGCCTCCAACCAGTTAACTTGCTCCCCTCCTCCACCAACTATAAGACCTTTAATTCATACAGCATTCCTATTCTATTGTCTAAATCTCTGTAATCATCACTACATACAGCCCTGGCTTCCTAGTATACTTGTGAAAATACCTGATAACTGCCACCATTTAAGCACATAGCAAGTGAATTTCGGGCAAAGTGATTTTTGAGCCATTTAACAAAAACACAAGAGAACAAATCCATTTTATTTACTTTTCAATAAATTTAAATCCTTGAGGGGTACAGCATCTGGAGAGGGAAAGAGAATAAATGTCATTAGGTGCATGTTACATATACAAATGTCATTGAGTAACACAATATGAATAAATCTCCCATTGTTCCATTACTCATTTCTGAAAGGAATCCAATGAGTTATATGTAGGTGGTGAACAAACCAAGTTTTAATGCCCTTCAGTTTTCAGGTGAATGTGTTTTGATTAAAAACATTCTGGGAACAATTAAAGTCCATTTAATTTTGCTTCTTCTAGTGACAGTAAAAACTTCCTGTGATGAGAAACCTCAAGCACTTCAGGTGACCCCTAAGACTATGGCCATGGCTATTAAAAATATATCCTAAGGGGAAAAAAATATCATAGGATCTACAGTCAAAGACTTGGGCCAAACTTCTGGGACCTAGAAACATGAACATCAGCTTTCTTCTACACAGTAGGACTAACAACACCTATTGTTAACAAAACTGCCATAATGAAGAGATGAGAAAATATTAAGAATTATACCATGAAATGGTATGTTGATTTTTAATTTTCTAGCAGCTACTTGAGTGCCCAACCTATTTTCCAAAAAACTGTTCATTTATTTTTTGAGACAAAGGGAGAGAGAGAAGGAAAAACATTAATGTGAGAGAAACATCCCATCTGTTGCCTCCTGCACATGCCTCGACCTGGGATGGAACCTGCAACTTGGGTTATGTACCCTGACCAGGGATTGAACCTACCCCCAATAATGCCCAGGATGATGCTCCAACCAAATAAGCTTCACCTGACGGGACAAAATTATTCATTCAGCCCAGGTCAGCTTAGCTTAGCTTAGCTTAGCGGTTAGAGCATCAGCCCCTGGATGGAAGGGTTGCGGGTTTGTTCCTTGCCTTAGTTGGAGTCATGTGGGAGGCAACCAATTAATGTGAGATCTCTCTCATATCAACGTTTCTCTCTCTACTCTCCCCATCTCCCTCCCTCCACTCTATCTAAAAATCAATGGAAAAAATCCTCAGCTAAGAATTACTAAAAAAAATCGTTCATTAAACACTATCTCCCCCCTCCCCACAACTTTAGCAAAATCTGAAATCTAGGCACAATTCACTTAAAAGTTTACTTTCACTTTCCTTCTAATACCAAGAATGTGATGTTCCATAATACATTTACACAAGAGTCACTAATAGTTCTTAGAGGTCAAAGTCTAACACCCTGAGCTTAGTTTGACTCAACCGGTATCATATTGCTTATAACTGTACTTACTACACGAATTCTGTGTCCAATGGCCTTAGCAGGAAGGTTGCTTCGGAATTTAGCACGAACCATGCCACTATTTCCATGAGCACGAGTTACCTTTCCCCAGATTACTCTGGTTTTGTTTGGTTTGCCACCAGGAGTCACTGTATTGCTGATTTTAAAAGGGAACAAAAAACATGAGAACCCAGGCAATTAGTACAATGATGTCTTACAAATACAAAGTGACATCTAGACCAGTGGCACTTAACCCTAGTTAACCATTTAAGTCACCACATAAAAGCCTAGGGCATCATTCATTCAACAAATACTTGAGTACCATACCTACTATGCCAGAAACTGTATAAATGTAATTTTTAGAATTTTGTAAAATACAGTTTACAAAACAAATCCCTTTCAGAGGATAACCAAAGCCTTCACTTATACTTGCATAAGTAAAATATAGAATGTAAGATGGTAAGAGATACACTAATGGGGGGGGGGGGGCGACAAGCACTTTGAGGTATTTATGTTTCTTTTTTTTTTTATCCTCACCCGAGGACATTTTTCGATATTTTGCTCAGATAGAATGAGAGGGAGAGAAAGAGAGAAACATCGACGTGAAAGCGACACATCGAGTGGTTGCCACCCACACGACCCAACCAGGGCTGGGGACAAACTGCAACCAAGGTACGTGCCCTTAGCGGGAACCAAACCCGGGTCTCTCCGGACCGCAGGCCGACGCTCTAACCGCTGAGCCAAACCGGCCAGGGCTATGTTTCAATTTTTATTTTTTGCTTAATCCTCACCCGAGGACATTTTTCCTTTTTTTTTTTTTTTTTTTTAGAGAAAGTGGAAGGGATGAGGAAGGGAGAGAGAAACATCCATGTGAGAAAGACACATCAATTGGTTGCCTCTTGCACGACCCTGACTACCTGGGCCAGGGACTGAACCTGCAACCCAGGTACATGCCCTTGATCGGAATGGAATCTGAGACCCTTTGATCCACAGTCCACAGGCCAATACTACAACTGCTGAGTCAAACCAGCCTGGGCTCTGTGTTTCATATTTTTAAGCCTGGAAGGCCTCACTAAGAAGGCAGTACTGAAACAAAGACTGAGGAGTTTGTGTCCCTTGCTTGTGGAAAGGCAGAAGAGACCCAAGAGGTGAATAGGGGAGGAGCCTTGAACGCACTTGGTCTTTAATGACTTTGGCTCTTACTAAATGACATCGGAATCAGTTGGAGTTTGAGCAATGTACAGATGACCTGACATAATTTAAAGGCTCACTCTGATTATAGGAGAAAAGGAAGTAAAAAATGAAAGCATGTATCTAGATAGTTAATTGGTCTGAAATAGGTTTAAGAACCCAGGATAAAGAATCAGTGCTCTAGAGAAACATCTTTAAGTATGTATATAAAATATAATTTCAACTAATCAACAAAATCAATTAAGATAAAAGAAAAGTGCTCTATAAAATCTTAATATCACAGTATCAGGAGTTGGCTTCCTTGAAACAATTAACAGCTACAATAACTGCAGAAGATACTTAAATGCAACACCACCAACAGTAACATCCTTCTATAGCCCCCCATAAAGTTCCTAAAAGTCCCAAAGTAGAAGCCACAACAGTAGTAATTCCTTTACCAACATCTTGTTTATTCGCTGGAATAAGAAAGACACAAATCTCAAGTAAAAACTCAAGAAGCACAATACTATAAACTTACTTCTTTGCTTTGTACACATAAGCACATCTCTTGCCCAGATAGAATTCAGTTTCATCTCGAGCATAAACACCTTCAATTTTAAGAAGAGCCGTGTGCTCCCTCTGGTTCCGGAGACCCCGTTTATAACCGGCAAAAATGGCCTTGGACCACAGCCTAAGACACACAAAATATACATCAACTACAAACTGTTGTAAGATTTCGTTTAACTTTAACAACCAGTAAGATTTGACTTGTAATGACCCCTACACAAAAGTTATCTATAACAAACATCTAATTTCCCCCCAATAATAAAGCCCGCATTTAATTAGCTCCATGCCTAATAAACAAAAAACCTACAAGAACAAAGCGATTACATTAAAAACGCTTACCTTCCAGACATATTTGTCCTTATAGAAGTCCTGTTCCCAGCAGGCCTTAAACAAAAAGAATCAGTTTAAAATCTTGCAACGCACATTCCCCACCCAGTCCCCTTCTCGTTTCTTAAACCTGTTAGGTAAATTCCTTTTTGATCGGCACCTCACGTTCAGAGTGGGGCAACGTAATTATGCCTGTTGTCTACGAAACACACTCTGGTAAGACAGTCCACCTGAGAGAATGCCTGATAGCTAAGCAAACTCCAAAATGAAACGAAAGTGGCAAAATTGTACACTAAAATAACACCTAGAAAACTCCAAAAGGGAGTCCTTAGAAAATTCATACCATGATCACTACAAAAAAAAAAATCAAGGACTCAGAGAAGCAGAGAGAAAACAAGACTCTTAAGCAATGAATGGGAAAGAAAAGCTGAGAAGAGACTGCAAACAAGCAAAGTCAGGCTTGGAGGGGTAGGAAGTGAAAAACCCAGCCAAATGCAGCCACTGTCTCGAAAAGGTAAATGCAGAGACAAAAATGCATCTGTGCCATTCCGTAAGGGCCCAGGAAGCAACTGACTACGGGGGAACCGGTTCTCCGGACATCAGGGGACCAGCACCATCAGTCCTCCATCTCCTCCATCCTGTCCTCCCTGTTGCTGGGATCCATCGAAATCAATGCCTGGCAGAGCCTTGGTGCCCCAGCAGTGCCTCGCCGAGAAATGTGGTGGAAACCACTCCAGTTATTTACCCCCAAAGTTCAGCAGCAGGAATTCCACTCACCTCCACAGGGTCCAAGATGGCAGAAAAAGGAAAACAAGGCCCCGCCGCGTGGCCTTGTGGGATAAACACCTCTCCGCCCCGCCCTCAGTTTAGGCATCTTCCGCAACCGCCAAAAAGAAATCCTCGGAAATCGTTGTCTGGTTGAAACAAACTACATTCAAGAGCACTCTTACAATTCTTTCCCTAAGTCGTTCCATCTTTGTAAGCTGCAACGTGTATTATTTTGGAACAGAGGAAGGCAAAGTGGTAGCCAGCTAAAGGAGGAGAAGCAAAGGTCCCACAGAGCTAAGCGTTGCCATAGAAACACGTTAGTTTGGTTCCTGCGTGGTCCGGTGCGGTAGGTGGAGAAAGGAAAGCCGGACAGGAGGACATCCCCCTGCTTCAGGTACTCCAGATTTGATTCGCCAGCCCAGCAGTACGGCGAACGCAGACTCTCGGACACCAGCCTGGACGAGAAAGGCCGGTAGTACGAAGGGAGGAGCTCTTCTCTTTACCTTCTCCCCTCCCCTCCCCCTTCCTCCTTCCTCCTCCTCCTCTTCCTTTTTTTAAAAAAAATATATAATTTGATTCTTTAGAGAGAGAGGAAGGGAGAGAAAGATATAAACATCGATGTGAAGAGAGAAACATCGACCAGCTGCCTCCTGCACGCCCAGCACTGGGGAGCCCACACCCCCGGCATGCGCCCCAACCGGGAATGGAACCGGGACCTCTCAGTCCATGGGACGGCGCTCAGTCCACTGAGTCACACCGCCTGGGCCTCTTTCTACTCCTCCTTCTCTTTCCAGACATGACTTAAGTTCTTACCTCCATCCTTTGTTTTGTCCAGGAGGGTAAGGAGGACTGTCCTGAAAAGGCCCTATTCTTTTTAAGGAAAACTCATTCAGCTGTTAGGCAAACTGTCGGCGCGCAGCACCGTGCCCACGTATTTTCAGTAATTACCTGTAGAGATTAGTGTACTGTGTATAGAAATGTATGTGTGTCATTGTAGATCATTGTGTCAGTCAGTGTTGCCCAGGAAGGGCAGAGTTTGCAGAGTTGAAGAGAATTTAGTAAAGTGTCTGCTTACAAAGGTGTAGGCAAGAGTGAAAGAAACTACAAGGGATACTGCAGTCTCCAGGCACATGAGGAAGTTACCTGAGCTCCCAAAAGAGAGCAATATGGAGAGGACTGCCTGATAGGAGCCATAGCCTTTGATGGAGAGACATAGCCAACAGTGGTGATCTGGAAGGGAGGGAGCTTGGGGGAATAAACGCGGAACCTTACAGTCCTATACTTTGGATCTCTTTTGCAATTTCCCTTTGATGCACTCCATGTGGATCAGTCTCCCGGGCACAGGAAATGGTGGAAACTGGATTTTTGCAGATACCTAGCAAAGTGGCACCGATTTAAACTGCTACCCGATGGGCCCTGGCCGGTTTGGCTCAGCGGTTGGAGCGTCGGCCTGCGTTCCGGAGAGACCCGGGTTCGTTCCCGCTAAGGGCACTTACTTCGGTTGCAGTTGCAGTTTGTCCCCGGCCCTGGTTGGTCGTGCAGGTGGCAGCCACTCGATGTGTCCCTTCACGTCGATGTCTCTCTCTCTCTCTCTCCCTTCCTCTCTCTCCCTCCCGCTCTATCTGTACAAAAAATGGAAAAATATCCTCGGGTGAGGATAAAAAAATAAATAAATAAACTGCTACCTGATAGGACTTTACGAGATGAGAGCCATGAGAGCAAGAAAAAGTACCAGACAGATCTGGAGAGGAACAAAGTGGGGCAGATCATGAAGTCCTTATGGACAAAATGAAGAATTTTAGTTTTTGTCCTAAGGTAATGGGAAACCATTGATGGGTACTAAAGAGAGACATGATCTGATTTTCAATTTTCCAGGATGAAGAGGTGAGGGTAAGAGTTCAAATAGAAACAATAGCATATGCAAAGATCCTTACTTGGAAACATGATTCCATGTATCAATCATTTTGACCAAGAACTGCAAGGCAAACAAAAGCTTTATTTGGGGGTCTTTTTTGGGAATTGCAGTCCCAGGAGAGACAGATTTGGGGTAGAAACTCCAACTGTGTTCCAAACGGGAAAGGAACAGAGTTTGTAAAGACAGAAAAAAGGGGTCTTCTAAAGGGATTACACAAGTTGCTTTGAAAGAGCTGTGACTGTCCAGCCGATGTGGCTCAGTGGTTGAGCTTCGACCCATGCACCAAGAGGTCACCGGTTCAATTCCTGGTTGGGTCAGGACACATGCCCAGGTTGTGGGGCCGATCCCCAGTGGGGGGCAAGCAGGGGGCAACCATTCGATGTTCTCTCTCATCCATGTTTCTCTCTCTTTCTCCCTCTCACTTTCTCTCTCTCTAAAATCAATAAAGGGAAAAAAATATGTCATTCAGTACTCAAACTAATCTCAATATTTTCCCATTTTAGATCACTTCATATTTGTGAGATTATAAATGTACCTTGGAAGTTAACAAAACTCACGTAAGAAGAATGGAAGAGTATGTTCAAAATTTTAATTTATTTTGTGTGTGTGAATTTATTTAAATTGTTCTTTATGTTAAATTTCTGTGTATTTTTTAATCTATTGCTCTGTAACAAATTACCCCAAAACATAGCTACTTAAAATATAAACATTTATTATTTCACATAGTTTCTATGGGTCAGGAATTTGGGAGCAGCTTAGCTGGATAGTTCTAGCTTGGGATTTCTCAAAAGTTTGAAGTTGGCCAAAGCTGCAGTCATCTGAAGACTTGACTGAGACTGGAGGGCCCACTTCCAAGATATCTCATGCATAGAGCTGGTATGTTGATATTGGATATTGGCAAGAGTCCTTAGTTCCTCGCCCTCATGAACCTATCCACAGGGCTGCTTCAGTATCCTCATGAAAAGGCAGCCGGTTTCCCACAGAGTAAGAGATATGAGAGAGTAAGGGAGAAGCTGCAATGCCTTTTAAATTTTTTATTATTGTTGATTTTAGAGAAAAATATCAGTTTGTTGTTTCACTTATTTATGCATTCATTGGTTGATTCTTGTAAGTGCCCTGACCAAGGATCGAACCTGCAACCTTGGCATATTGGGATGACGCTCTAACCAACTGAGCTATCCGGCCAGGGCCTGCAATCTCCTTTATCACCTAGCTGTGGAACCCACAATATCCTTTTAGTTACACAGGTTAGTTAGTTCTGTTCAATGTGTTGGAGACTACAAAAAGACATGAAAGTGAGAATCATATGGGCCACCTTATAAACGGGCTACCATATTCTGTTTTTTACTAGTCATGTGACACTTTTGGTTAGTAGCACCTAAAGATATTGCTAGAAAGAAAAGTTAATTTTGGCTTAAATTCTAATTGGTGAAGCATAGTCAAATTGCATGGATTACATAACTTAGTTAAACAGCAAAGTTGCTTGCTTATGGTTGGTTAAAATGTCACTGAGGTATTTATCAGAATCACATGCAAATTCCTACTTTTGTTCTTTATGTTGGTGATATTATATATTACACTATGGACTTCACAGGAGCCAGTCTACATGCTGCCTGTGCTTTTGAGTTTAAGTAATTTTTAAACATTTGGTGGCTGACTTATTTTTTCTTTATTCTTTCTGTAGAGACTATCCTGAAGCCTCAAATCTTTCTCTAAAATCTTGGCATTCTGAAGTGACATTGTCAGTGACAGGCGAACCACCTAGTGTTGTAGAAGAAGAAACAGCCAAAGAAACAGACATAGAAATCATCCCAGAAGTCATAGAGCCACTCTCCATTTTAGATGTGCTGAGGATCTCCGCGGTTCTGGAGGATACCACAGACCAGCTCTCTATTCTAAACTACATCATGCCAGTTCAATGTGAAAGAAGAGAGAGCTACAACATGGTATATATGCTCACTCTTATTTAATTTCTCTTTTTTTCATTTTATTTCTCTATCATTTACAGTAACTATGTCATTAAATTTAACATGGGACGTAGCATCTCTATCTCAAATAAGGGCTATAATAATTACCTGAAATATGGACTCTCAGTTGATGGAATGAAATAGCCATATCTCAAGGTACATTACCGGTCAGAATGTTCTTTTCTTTAATATGCTGGCATTATTTAAAAAACCTGTAGTTAAATCAGGCCCTGGCCAGTTTTGCTCCGTGGTTAGAGCATTGGCCCTTGGACCAGAGAGACCTGGGTTCGGTTCCCGCTAAGGGCACGTATGTCGGTTGCAGTTTGTCCCCAGCCCTGTTGGGGTCGTGTGGGTGGCAACTAGTTGATGTGTCTCTCTCACATGGATGTTTCTCTCTCTCTCTCTCTCTCTTCCTCCCTCTCTCCCTCCTGCTCTATCTGAAGATAAATGCAAAAATGTCCTCTGGTGAGGATAACAAAAACAAAACACAACAAAAGAAAACAAAAAACCTATAGTTAAATCAGTGTAAATACAGTATGTGCACTGAGGTCCAACAAATTACTGACTTGTCTCATTTATATTTCTCAGCTGCTAAAAGCTAACTGCTGGACCCTCTAAACATTGCTTTAATCTAAAACAACTTTGTTGCATTGCAGAATATGTTGCAATATACCTTTATGAATATCCACCACATCATTGTGTCAGCCATTACATTTTTAGAGATGTTACAGACTACTCAAAGCACTTATTGGTAGTATGCAAGAGCTTTATAAATGATTAAACTATTGTTAATTTTAATAACTTAGGTTGTAGATATAAAATAAAAATTTTAAATACAAATACATATTTATTGGTAGCTGGCGACTGGTGGAGAAAGCGGCAGCCATCCCAGCGGAGGTGATGACGGGAAGGTCTCAGGGAGTCAGGACCATCAGGAGCACCTCACCTCTTGGTGCCACGGGGATCATCACTCAAGGTCCCCCAGGCGGCTGCGCGGAACCATGGCTGTGCTAGTCCTGCTCATGTACTTGGTGGCGGGTGTTTTAGGGAATGAGTTTAGTATATTAAGATCACCAGAGTCTGTTGTTTTCCGCAATGGGAATTGGTCTATACCAGGAGAGCGAATCCCAGACGTGACTGCATTAGCCATGGGCTTCTCTGTGAAAGAAGACCTTTCTTGGCCAGGACTTGCTGTGGGTAATCTATTCCATCGTCCTTGGGCTACTGTTATGGTGGTGGTGAAGGGAGTGGACAAACTCGCTATACCCCTAGGCAGTGTTATTTCCTACCCTTTGGAGAATGCAGTTCCTATTAGTCTTGACAGTGTTGCAAATTCCATTCACTCCTTATTTTCTAAAGAAACTCCTGTAGTTTTGCAGTTGGCTCCCAGTGAGGAAAGAGTATATATGATGGGGAAGGCAAACTCAGTTTTTGAAGATCTTTCAGTAACCTTTCAACAGCTCCACAATCGCCTGTTTCAAGAAAACTCTGTTCTTAATTCCCTTCCCCTCAATTCTCTGAGTAGTAACAATGAAGTTGATCTGCTCTTTCTTTCTGAACTGCAAGTTCTGCGTGATATTTCAAGTTTGTTGTCTCGACATAAACATATAGCCAAGGATCATTCCCCTGATTTATATTCACTGGAGCTGACAGGTTTGGATGAAATTGGGAAACATTATGGAGAAGAATCTGAACAATTCAGAGATGCTTCTAAGGTCCTTGTTGACGCTCTGCAAAAGTTTGCAGATGACATGTATAGTCTTTATGGTGGGAATGCAGTGGTGGAGCTAGTGACTGTCAGATCCTACGACACATCACTTGTGAGGAAAACAAGGACCATCCTTGAGACAAAACAAGAGAAGAACCCACCAAGTCCCTATAACTTTGCATATAAGTATAATTTTGAGTATCCAGTGGTTTTCAACATGGTTCTTTGGATAATGATCGCCTTGGCCTTGGCTGTGATTGTCACCTCTTACAATATTTGGAACATGGATCCTGGATATGATAGCATCATTTATAGGATGACAAACCAGAAGATTCGAATGGATTGAATTTTCCTTCCACCAAAATTAGAAAAGGTTTTAGACATTATCTGTTTTGTGAAAATAGTTTAGTATCATTTAAAGTAGACAGTATTCTTTAAATTTAAAAAAAAAAAAGCAATTTCTCTATTTTATGTGTACCTGTGAAGTTGTTTTAGAGTAAAGTATGGTGTTGACATGAATTGATTTGTGTGATAGATTCCATAACATGCTCAAATACTGTAACCATTAATTGTAATTTCATTCCATTTAGCATTTGAAAATAATGTACTGAAATAAATGTAAAACATTTATACTAGTTTGTGTTATTTATGTTGAAAAAATGCACTGAATTTATTAGAGAAACTTATGAATGCTTAACTTCCTTATGGGATAGGTGAAACTTATATTTGGGTTGTTATGTACTAGGAATCATTGTAAATGTCTTAATTTGATATAAATATCTCTGAGACAAGGGAAAGATTTTTAACTTTAGAGCAGCCTGAAATTATGAAAGTGCATACACAGTTGCTTAGATTTGGAACTGCATCTGAGTGATGGAAGATAGCTATTTTTTAACCTCTTCTGAAAGCTTGGTGATCCGGATGGTCTACTGTGGATATTAAAAATACTGCATTGGCCCTGGCCAGTTTGGCTCGGCGATTAGAGTGTCGGCCTGAGGTCCAGAGAGACCTGGGTTCGGTTTCCTCTAAGGGCACGTACCTTGGTTGCGGTTCGTCCCCAGCCCTGGTTGGGTCGTGCAGGAGGCAGCCACTCCATGTGTCCCTTTCACGTCGATGTTTCTCTCTCTCTCTCTTCCTCTCTTTCCCTCCCACTCTATCTGAACAAAAAATGGAAAAATGTTCTCAGATGGGGATAAAAAAAAAATACGTTGATCTAAGAAGAAACAAGCTTTGTGGAGTTGTAAATGCTCATAATTATACACACAAAAACATATTTAAGGGAACATCTTGGGACATGAATATACAAATGTTTTTTTAATTTGCTGTGGCCGTTGAGGCTTGGTTGGTTGGAGTGTCCTCCCATACACCGAAAGGTCTTGGGTTCGATTCCCAGTCAGGGCACATACCTGAGTTGCGGATTTGATCCCTGGTAGGGTATGTGCAAGAGGCAGTCAATCAATATTTTTTTCCCACCTCAATGTTTCTCCCATCTGTGTTCCTCTCTCTGTTCCTCTCTCTTTCTCTCCCTTACTTTCTCTAAAATCAATAAAAAAGCATATCCTCGGGTAAGGATTAAAAAAATAAACATCTTAAAAAATATTTTTATTTCAATAACTTTGTCCTCTGTGTAAGTTACTGTGGTTTGTGTCATTACAGAATATTAAGTGTAAGTAGATGTACTTTTCACATGGAAGTGGACCAATGTCTATAAGGAGTGACAAATAGCCTGGCCAGTGTGGCTCAATAGTGGTTGAGCATCGACCCATGCACCAAGAAGTTGCTGGTTCGATTCCCAGTCGGGGTACATGCCCAGGTTGTGAGCCCAATCCCCAGTTGGGCATGCAGGAGGTGGCCAATCAATGTTCTCTCTCATCGATGTTTCTATCTCTCCATCTCTCTTCCTCTCTCTCTAAAAATCAATATATTAAGACAAATTTTTTTAAAAAGGGGTTACAAAGTTAATGATTTCAAACAAAAAAGAAGCCAAATACATTTTTATTAAGTTTAGCAAAATTACATTATGTAATTTGTACATAATCTTTGTTTTTTTTGTTTTGTTTTTTATCCTCACCCAAGGACATTTTTCCATTCCTTGTTTAGGTAGAGTAGGAGGGAGAGAGAGAGAGAGAAACATGGATGTGAAAGGGACACATCAAGTGGCTGCCACCCGCACGACTGACCAGGGCCGGGGACAAACTGCAACCGACGTACGTGCCCTTAGCGGGAACCGAACCCTGGTCTCTCTGGACTGCAGGCCGACGCTCTAACCGCTGAGCCAAACCGGCCAGGGCTTTGTTTTTTGTTTGTACAGAATATATTATTGTCTCTGATTCTATGACAAATGGAAATTACTACAGCCCTGGCCAGGCAGCTCAGTTGGTTACTGTGTCGTCCCAATACCCCAAGGTTACAGGTTCAGTCCCTGATCAGGGCACATATAAGGAGCAACCAATGAATGCATAAATAAGTGGAAAACAAATTATATTTCTCTTTCTCTCTTTTCCTTCCTCCTTACTTCCCTCCCTCTCCCTCTCTCTTTCTCTCTCTAAAATCAAGAAATACAAAAACAAAACAAACAAAAAAATTGCTACATAAATGAGAGTGTAAATTGCTATGTCTAACAGAAAAGAACTCCATCTAGGGGAGAATCCTTCCTGCTTCCAAGCTTCTAGTGGTTGCCGGCAGTCATTTCCTTTGCAACCACAGCAGTCCAATCACATAGTGTTCTCCCTGTCTGTGTTCACATCACCTCCATGCATAAAAAAAAAGTTCATATTTATTGTGACTAGATAAAGTTTCTTTTAATTGTGCCTTATAATTTTAAAATTATTATTTTTTAAAATATGTTTTTATTGATTTTTAGAGAGAAACATTAATGAGAGAGAGACATTAATTGACTGCCTCCTGTACGTCCCCAATGAGGGTTGAATCCGTAACCCGGGCATGTGCCCTGACCAGGAAGCAAACCCCAACCTCTTAGTCCATGGGTGAACACTCAACCACAGAGCCACACTGGCTGAGCTCATTTAAAAATTATATGTATAGCCCTGGCGGGTTCAATTCAGCGATTAGAGCCTCGGCCCGTGGACCGGAGAGTCCCGGGTTCGGTTCCCACTAAGGGCACGTGCCTCGGTTGCAGTTTGTCCTCGGCCCTGGTTGGGGTCGTGTGGGTGGCAGCCACTCAGTGTGTCTCTCTCACATCAATGTTTCTCTCTCTCTCTCCCTCCCTCCCTATCTAAAGATAAATGCAAAAAAATGTCCTCGGATGAGGATAAAAAAAAATATTATATGTATAATCTGGGTCTGTAAATCTTTTATTTTATTTTATTTTTTTATCCTCACTCGAGGACATATTTCCATTTTTTGTTCAGGTAGAGTGGGAGGGGGAGAGAGGAACAGAGAAAGAGAGAGAAACATCGATGTGAAAGGAACGCCACCGCACAACTGACCAGAGCCGGGGACAAACTGCAACCGAGGTACATGCCCTTATCGGGAACCGAACCCGGGTCTCTCAGGACCGCAAGCCCACGCTTTAACCGCTGAGCCAAACCGGCCAGGGCTGTAAACCTTTTTTAAAAGTACGCCCTGGCTATTTTGGGTCAGCAGTTAGAGCGTCGGCCTGCGGTCCAGAGAGACCTGGGTTCGGTTCCCCGCTAAGGGCATGTACCTTGGTTGCAGTTTGTCCCCGGCCCTGATTGGGTCGTGCGGGTGGCAGCTACTCGATGTATCCCTTTCACTTCCTCTCTCTTCCTCTATCTCCTTCCCACTCTATCTGAACAAAAAATGAAAAAAATGTTCTCAGGTGAGGATTAAAAAAAAAAGTTCATATAAGATTTTAATAGAACACTGGATTTGGAGTCAGGAGACCTTTGCAGTTTAGTTGTGCTATGAACAATTCATTTCACTTTCTTGGTCTTAGTTTTCTCATCTGTAAAATGTGATGGGAATTTTAACTAAATGATCTATATATTCCCTTCCAATGCTAACATTCTATGAGTTTGGGGGTAATTTTAAAATGACCTTAATGGAGCCTAGCCGGTGTGGCTCAGTAGTTGAACGTCAACCCATGCACCAAGAGGTCGCCAGTTCAATTCCTGGTCAGGGCACACACCCAGGTTGTGGGCCAAATCCCCAGTGGGGGTCATGCAGGAGGTGCAATCGATGTTCTCTCTCATTGATGTTTCTGTCTCCCTCTCCCTCTCTCTCTAAAATCAATAAAGAAAAAAAATTTTTTAATGACCTTTATGGATATTACAGATATTTTACAACAAATTAATTTCCTTATCAATTTATGAATGGCAGAGATTGGAAACCCAAGAACTAAGCTTTTCAATGCATTTAAAATAATATTCTAACAAATTAAGATAATTAACAAACAATACAGAAGAGACTAGTGGTTCCTTCCTACTTATTGTCTTCTTCAGTAAGAATAAAAAAGAGAAGATATTCAGCTAACAACATGAAGTCTTATTATACTTATCGATGATACTGTCAGGCATTTAAAAAAAAAAAAAAAAAAAAAACATGAGAATTTGCCATCATAGAAATTCAAAGAAGAATGAAAACCCCAAATAAACAGTATTCAGCAGCAGTCACCACTACAATAAATAAAAGAACAATGTTTTTGGGCTGTTTTATTTTGATTAAAGATAGTGATCTTCACCCACAAAATTTTCTGACTTAATAGAGGTTCTGCTTATGATTTTATAGAAGTGTACATAATAAAAGCTTGCACTTTTATTTTGATTAACAGGAGCTTAAAAACCTCTTCTGCAATGCAAGTTCCATAATTTAAAAAAATTATGAATCTCAAAATAATATTTTGTTTTTACTTCACAGGACTATATTTGTTCAATTTTAAGAATTTTGCTGTGCCATTACCCCATATGGCATAGGGTATACATTTTAAAACCTTAACATGTATGTGGCTTTTTTTTTCTCCAAAGTCTTCACATTGTTTGGCCTTATAACAAGGTTAATTAGCATTATCCCTTTTTTATTTTATTTTTTCCTTTTTAAAAAAATTTTTTTTTTATTCAGATAGAGTGGGAGGGGGAGAGAGAGAAATATCGACGTGAAAGGGCCACATCGAGTGGCCGCCACCCACACGACCCAACCAGGGCACTGAGGTACATGCCCTTAGTGGGAACCGAACCCGGGTCTCTCCAGACCACAGGCCAACGCTCTCACCGCTGAGCCAAACCAGCCAGGGTGCATTAACTCTTTTTTTACAGCCATTTTTATAGCTAAAGATGTCTCCAAGTAGATTTTCATTTGTTAGAATCATGGAATGGAATGATAAAACTATACTAATATATACCAGGCTCCATCAGAAGTGGGAGTAATGGTCCTAACTTTGGAAAGAGACTGACCCCTCACAGGAAATACTGTTTTTCTTATCTTTTCCCTTAGAGTCTAATTCCTCATCTTGTACATAATGTATACCACATAAAAATCCTGTTTAGTGACTGGACTACATAGAACATTTAGCTAGTTCCTTAAAGTTCTCTTCTAAAAATTCATATTTCTACTAATCAATTTTGACACGTTTGCCTCCTTTTTCAGGTGCCTAAGCATAAAGGTAGAGGGAAAATGATTAGGGCAATCAGAAAAACAGCTTCCTAGGCCGT